ACTTGTATATTTGTGCTACTCAATAGTTTAAAAGCACTGTTGCGATAGTAGTCATTCCAGTAGGCAGCAAAATATTTCTCCAAAGAATAAAATAACTCATCACTGATAGATTACTTTCTGTCAGCGGTACATACTTACCAAGATTCAAACTGAGCATGGGAGGGCAAAATGTCAGGCAAAATGAAGTTCAACAACAACAAAAGCCCGCACAAATTGTCTTGTATCAGGGTAAATGTTTGAAGGTTCAGTTAGGAAAACTTTGGTTTCACTCAATAATTTAAAAACACATTTGTGATAGTAGTAATTCCAGTAGGCAGCAAAATTTTCTCCAAGAAATAAACTAACTCATCACTGATAGATTACTTTCTGTCAGCAGTACATACTTACCAAGATTCAAACTGAGCATGGGAGGACGAAATGTCAGGAAAAATGAAGCTCAACAACAACAAAAGTTCACGCAAATTGTCTTGCATCAGGGTCTCAGTGAAAAGAAGTTTATTTTCAATTGAAAAGCAATTTAATTCCCTTAAAAAGAGGTGGTGCATATTTTCAAGCAATGACTCTATGAAAAAAGGGACAATTGAGAGACGGACAGAATACCGATTTTTATCATTTGAGGGACTAATTTCAGTGTACCAAAGATTTAAGGGACTAATATTAAAAATAACATTCTGAAACTGAGTTGCAGGGTAATATTTCAGTTGGGTGAGGTTGGGTGGGAAATAGGAGATTTCAGTGGGAAGCATATGTTTTTTTATTAGTGAGGTCACCTAGTGCCATGACTTTTTGATTGATGGGTGTTAAATGAAGTTGGATGCTTGTCCTCCTTGATCAAAGTGGTGTCACATGACCCTACTTCGATTAAGGTAAGTCCGCCGATGTGAATTAGCACCCAAAAATTATATTTTCCTCATATTAGACCTTAACTTTTAATTTATATTTATATTAAGCCCTTAAATCTAATTTAAATGAGTTTTAGACTTTTACCATGGTAAAGCCTAAACAAAATAACCTAAAGGCCTTAGTTCTGAATAAATAATTTAAGGCCGAATTTAATCTTTTTGTATGGGCCAAATTCTTTTCGGAGACTGTAGGCCGAGGGACCAACATTGTCTTAGTGAATAAGTATGTGAATTCTGATTCTTTTAATTAGAAATGATTATTTTGATCTACTTTAGTCTACTTGCTTGCATTCAGTTAGAACTCCAAAAAAGTAGCTCTTGACACGTGCAAGACATCTGACTGAAGGACTG